CATGGTCATGAGTACCGCGGAACTTAAAAACGATCTTTACATAGCTACTGTTTCCTTCCGGTAAAAGCAGCTCCGACGTTCGCGGCGGCTCAATTCGCGTTCGAATTTTGCGTTTACAAACACGTATCCACACGCGTCCTTCATCATCCTTTTATCATCAGTTGACTTCATCGTCCTTTTATCATCAGTTGACCCCGTCAGCGCGTCCAACGTCAACACACTCGTACACCCGTTTCTAAGTACATCTCTCAGAAAACAACTACTTAATTTTGAATTTTTGTTTAGCTGGTTTAAATATTTTATCTTATGATTTATCGTGAAATAAAGTATTGTTCTGGCAGAAAACTCATCAGTAATTACGGAAAGAGTAATCGATCATACGACCGGATTTGCCTAAATGTACACAAATACTAGTCTATTTCTCGTTATCACTGGCGGATCCAGAAATTCGGTAAGAGGGGAGTTCGCTCATATTGACGTGGCCTCCGGTGGGCTGGGTTTGTCAATTGATTTGTCAATTGTTTTTTGCGGAATGAAGGGGGAGCGCGCAACAAATACTGACTGCTGTGTTTACTGTCTGCCCACATTTGATTTATTTATATAAATAACCCCTTTTTACCAATGTGCTTCTTCAACTACAATCGAGTAAAAATAGGTGGGAAAGTCATGTTCATATTTAGATTTCACCAAAACAATACGCATCGAGAGATGTTTACAATCAAGGTTGTCAAATTTGCACTCTCCAAAAAACTGATATATGATTTTCAAGAAATCCGGAGGTGCACGTCATTGCCATAGCTCTCATTACACGGCACACACGACACATCGTTCCGGTTTCGTGACTTTGAATGTACCCAAGATCACGCGTTTTGAAATTGCATATGCTAATTTAGAAATATGAACAACCATAGGCCTATCTCTTTCTCAGGTCTATGGAACAACGAGGTCGTTAGAATGGCGTATCTTTGGAACTTCGTCTTCCCTTCTCCGATATGGAAAAAAATACATTCATAGAACTGAAAAATATACAATGAAGAGTAGTTGTAATAACAACAGCACTCACACAGTATTTGTGCGAGTCCTTGGATATTCGTACAATGGTGACAGCGATACACTCTCGCGTTCAGGGTTCAGTCATAATTTAATTTTTAGATAAAGACGCATTCTATATCAGTTATGTTGACGCAGGTGATGGCAGCGCTTTTGTTCGGTAAAGGAATTCAAATAATAAAATCGCTTCGAGAGATGGCATACAAAGTCGTATAATAATAACCAGATTTCTTTGCTGTCGTTAAATTGATTATTTGTGACCTGTTTCATGTCGGGTTGTTTTCGGTGGATAGATTATGGCTATTATTACTTGATGATTCGGCTCACTTCAAAGTTTACGACGCTATAAACACCTCCGATGAAGGGCGTGGTATGAAACCATGGAATACGCAATAATATGAGGTTATTACGAGGATACCAAAAAGTATTCACGAAGACAGTACGGCGGAAATATTGACCGACGCGCAGCGGAGGTCGATGCGACCCCGTACTTTCTGAGTGCATACTTTGCGATATCCTCGTGGTTCCTTATTATTAAACATCTTCAAGTTTTCCACCCAAAGATACATCATGGGAATGCCGAAATCGAAAAAGTTTAGAACAAATTTAGCGAACTTCTTTGTGTGGAATCCGGTCAAACCCTGCGGGCTGACGCTCCCGTCCGCAGTCGCTCCATATTTGGAATTCCCATTTCCTAATATGGTAGGATGAAAATATCCAGTGCAGCACCGCACAATTACGGCACCCTATAACAGGTGTATACTAATGTAATATAAGTTACTCGCTTAAATATACCTCTTGAAATATACCTTGCTGATATGTATGTGATCAACATCACGGAGAAGTTGTACATTTATATTTGACCCAGATCTTTATAGACATAGTGACTTAGCTGATTCCGCATCATATGCCCTTACAACACTGATAAGCATGCAGTTAATCGACCGTGGATACGGTAAGTCACACACGCGGCAGAACGATTTCCGCGATGATAAAATTGTTGTATGCGTAGTCAGCCAACCATCAATATAAAAAAAAATTGTATCCTTGTTACGGAGCTAGTCCGAAAGTTGACTGTCGTTTATAAAATATAAAATAAATAATTTGCGTTCTACCGGGCTAAGGTGTGTAGAAAATGAAAATCACGTCTCAAGCTGGACGCAAAAAAAAACTAAAATAGGCACACGCTCTGCCGGATCAATTTAATGAGCTTTTAACATTAGGCTTAACGGCATTTTAATGTGAAGACTCGACTTTTTTACGAGCAACGTCCTGACCGAATCATCAATAATTTAAGCGAACGCTGCAGCTATGGGTCGTAAAAAAAGCCCGTACGTATTTCAGTGTCAAGTGCTTGTAACGAATATTGTAAACTTACTGCAGAATTGCATTGTGGGTGGAAAGGGGGTAATGCATGGCAATCTCCGATAGTAACGTTAAACGTTAAGTCTTCTCGTCCGTAAAACATTAACACTGACAAAGAACGGAAGGTATATTCACCCGGAAGCAATTAGTATATATTTGGTTAATTAGTCGTACACGACTGTGCCAATATCCGATCATTCTCGGAACTGACTGAACCCACAGGCAGATAAATTCCCATTAAATCAGGCATTGTATTGGTTAGGTGTTACCGTAATTGTAACATCCACGAAAGGGGCCTCGTTATTTCATCATATTTCGAAGTAGTGCCCTCGGTGACGGTGAATTTTGAATGACGTACATGTTTGTGTTAAATTATCATGCAAAGCAAGCTACAAAATAGATGATACAACTTCAATATTTAATTTTTACGATAACAGCTAATAAAAATAACATGCGACATAACAGTATTCACTTGCCCATTTATTGTACGTGATCGTCATGAAACATATTGTCGATAATTTTATTCGTTTTCATGCATATACACATAGGATGATTATTGAATGACATTATGCAAATTACATATCAAACGCGTTCAATCATATTGGGTTGGTGTATAAATATAAGAAATAATATTGTTTCCTTGAGTCAATACTGAGGTTATTATTGCAGCTTGTGTGGTTGTATTTGATTGCTGGTGTATATTGTATACGTAGTTACAGGGCGGTGATAGTCGCGCCGCGCCCTGTCCCGAGTCGACTTGGGACTCATATCGACGTACATAACGCGTGTAAAATACATTGTTTGTTTACATCAAATTCGAACACGCGCTTGTTAGCGCTGTAAAGATTGGTGGTTGCAGCGTCTTGTTCGATATCATGGGACTCATAGCGACGTACACAACGCGTGTAAAATGCATTGTATGTGTATATGGAATTCGAACACGCGCTGCGTGACGACTGGAGCGCTTTAAAGGGCGCTGGTCGTAAGGACCGCGTCCTGCTCGATATCATGGGACTCATAGCGACGTACACAACGCGTGTAAATTACATTGTTTGTAAACATGAATGTTGACACGACTGCGCGACGATCGAAGCCTTTCAACGTTACAAAAATTGTTTCTGGTCTAGTCGATTTCTAAAATCGACGCACGACGATGATTTTTATTGTAACGATTTCATTTATTGCGGTCACCCGAAACAGAATTTTTTTGTTGGGCTTCAATGAGAAATTGATCCTCGGTATATCTCCGGCTAACGGGGTGTTTAGATATTCAATACTCGCACATTGTGGTACTGGGAATATATAGGGGAGGGGCTTGATAAAAGTAAACACTTTAATGCTGCTATCATTATTCTTTTCGACTGAAACACCGACAATTTCGATCTAGGCAACTTAAAGGGCGATGGTCGTCGCACAGCGCATGTTCGATTTTTTTTTGCAAACAACATATTTTACACGCGTTGTAGCCCTCGCTCTGGGTTCCACATCTGACAGCACGCGGCGGACGGCCACTTCCCTTTAATTAAAGTGTAACTTTGAATTTCTGTACTTAAACGGTTACGCATTTACAAGTGATATATTATTGTTCGATTACTCCGTTGAAATTAACATTGAGTGTACGTAGATAAGAGATTTCTTAATTTTGATAACATTATCGATCGTATCGATCACCTATAGTCGATACTTAAATTAGCGCAAAACAATAACAAAAATTCCGTTTCGTGCAATTTAAATTTCAACATGAACTGGACAACACGGCGGTGAATAACATAAGTTATGTTTTTTCAAGAGGCGTACGTCATATCGTAGTGAAATTCCGAAAAGAAATCTGCATGAAAAAAAAAAGTACTTGCAGACTAACGATGAGAGCACTGTGGGTAGAAGTAGGACAACATAAAACACTAAAGATCTATAACAAGCAAATGTTAGTTATTGACGTTATAAGAATGATGAATGTTGATGACTCGTCAAAGTTTCGATTCAATGGTTACTTTGCAATTACCTTTTGGCACTACACTAACACTTCAAAGTATTATCGTATTAACGGCTGTATCGAGGACCTTACTCACAGCAACGTAGCGAGATGCATGCCACTTTGACACGTTCACTGAAGGGTCATTTTTGGACTGGTACTCGACGAATAACATCATGGCTGTTACGCTCAAGTTGTTTCGTGTTCGTGTTTGATTGCTTCAAGTGCAATCACGCATGCTAACTCAGGAGAACCCCGGGATCGTGGCGGCTAATAATCCAACGTAGTAGATATGTTGTATGTTTTATTGCCATGTGCGAACAATGCGCTTTATTTTCCCCTGAGAGTACCGTGCCCTTATGATTTATTTTCCGAATTAAAATGTTTAGTTCGGAATAAGAGTGTTATTTAAAACGTTGCAGCCTTCGCACCGCCTCGCGCTTACTGTGCGTTCCATGCGATGTATACAGCGTGCGTAAATTACACACGTTTGTTTACACAAAACCCGTACCCCGCTTGCTGTCATCGTTACCAAAATATTGACATTTGACTGTAACGTCATGTCATGATACAAACTTTAATATAAAAATCCTGATTTTTTTTCATACTCCAGGCAAAAAAAGGTCGAATGAAAACAGCGTCACATCGAGTGAAGAAGATGGGCTTGGATTAATTCAGGTAAATTTGCAGACGGCAGTGTAAATCTTGAATAGCAGGTGTACTTATCACGTGGTGCGAAACAGCCAATTGGCATGAACGTTATGGAGCATCAGTCACAACTTGAAACCACACGTGCGCTGCATATTAAATGAACCGTCTGCTTCAACTCGATATCGTTTCGGATATTTACTCAGATTAACAACTTTTAATAATTCATAAATTAAAAAATATATATATTCTTGTTCCTATCTGATTACAAGTTGATTTTCAGATTGAAATATAATTCTGAACTGTAATGTTGTTATTGCGGCCCACAAATTATGACCTACGCAAATTCGCATGCAGTTTCAATTAATAATGCGTGCGGGTATTTATTATTCGTATGCGCCGCATTTTTATAGTTCCTAGACAGTTTTATCAGGCGAATACTGTTTTCTGTGCGACAAAAAATATTTTGTATACCGAACACAAGAACTAATCATTGAACACACGAGGTTCGTCTAAAGTTTAATAACTGACTCATTTTTTTTTGCTAGCCACCAACGGAGGGAAATGAAATAAGAATCACGTCATTCTCGGATGAGGCTGTCGGATCATTGGTTAAAAGATTGCCACCATTTTGGAGACAATTTGTGTTTCAGGTATTATTGTGTTTAGTATTAACGGAGAGTACCAAGTTAGGTGATGGTTAAATGGTGGGGGTCGTCACCTGCGCATGCGTCAGATAGCTATAGCGTGTCACAGTTTACAAACAAACGTCTACCCATGAGCCTTTGCGTTTTTAGCGTATGTTGTTATCGTCGCTTGGGACTCAATTCCCGCGCATGCGCAGGTGACTACCCTCCCGCTTTAAAGGGTGGGGGTCGTCGATATTATTTGTTTACACGTAATTCGAACACGCTGCCATAGCTAGTGAAATGCCAATGTTCTACAACAAGATTCCCGCTAAGCATCCCCAAGACCCATTGTACGGATGATAGAAATTACGTCATATTACCCACAATCCTATATGAAGCTCTAAGGTTACCTTATGATCTCGCCGAAAAATACAGTGGAAAACAAGACATAGCTGTTCACGCAATACAGCATTTTGTTCTTTTAAGTTTGGTGATGAAAATCAACTGAAAGTGATAAGTTAATACAATACTAGTAATTGTCAATATAAATATGCAAGAAAATACTTGCAAGGAAAGACTATTGGCGGCTGCCTGAAAAACAAAAACAAACAAAAAACATAATGATTCGCGCCAGTAATCCCAAAATTTCAGTCCAAATCCGGACATCGCATATCGTGAAATATCCACAGACAGCCGCTTACCCCAAAACATGACAATATTATATTTGAACATTATCACCCTAAAGATCAAATTTTGCACTAACATCGAAATAATACGTGAAACCACAAACACTGCGATCGATTTTTTCTAGTTTTCACCAAACAACAACCAAACCTCTCGTTATCTAGAAGAAATTAAAAAATAAGACACCGTGGCATATCGTTTACTCTCGCGTAAGCTGACGTCATTATTAGACACTGACACTCCATCGGCTATATTCGGCAAAACTCGGGTGCCCACAACCGAGGCAGAAAACGTCCCATTTTAGGCTCTTTTGTTGGCCTGCCAAACAAAGAGATGAAACCTGCAGAATTTGTGTGTGGTAAAATATTTTAGCAAAAAAAAAAAAAAAAAATGCGTGGCTTTAAAGGAGAAATGCTTCTGTTAGGGATTATACTCCAACTTTTCTTATTTCGAAACGACGTACATTCCAATCCTCCACGCTATTGAGTGACGTAGCGATTACGGCAGTAATTTTTCATAGTTTTGAGGCAAACTTCCGAGCATTATGATGACGGGAACGGTTGGTAGTTAAGATGGAGGATAATATCACTTATTACGAGTTGGTCTCGTCGCATAACGATGCCCCCTGATTAAAAACACAAAACAGTTTCGTGGTAAGGTAGTTGGCTAGCATTAAAAGATATAGTCGGATTTTCTTGCCTTTTTCACTATGGTTCTATTTTATGTTCTTTTTTCACTGAACCCAAATAAAAATGTCTGTTCACCAACTGCTTTGCACAACATGCAGTTACAACGTGATTTTGAGCAATGTACTATTCGTTCGTATGGTGAAACGTCAACTACCCGCGATAGTACCTTTACGGCTGAGTTATTTTATAGCTAACCCGTCCGTTTTCAACTGGAACTAATGTTTATTCCTAATCTTGATCGTTGTTTCTTTTCTCCACATAGTTAGTGAAACTGAGCATGATGTACCCAGCTTCGGAGGATATACTGATGGCACAAGAATAAGCGTGGCGACCGGAAGTGACGAAATATTAAACCCGCAACGGACCACGGACCTTGAAAACGACATCGATCTCGTCACATTGTTACTTTCTTTCAATTAGTTTTTTTTCGATAATGCTATTAGAACTAGACTAGACAAATAGATTTAATGAAGTATACATATTTCTTTTTTTCTGTAAGATACAATTTTAAAAAATGAATTTGAAGCTGACTATGCACTTGTACATTTCATGGAGAGAAAAATTCCCATCATGCTTGTTAGTAGAATATACTTAACACTAGTATAAACCATTATACAAAGAGTGTAATGTTCTTTGTATTTTGAACTTTGAACTCTCTATTTGTTTGTTCTTATTGGATAGTTGACATCGGCTAATGCACTACCCGGTGTGCGCGTGCGTGTGTAGTTTTGTTTTTACAAACACTGTAACGGAAGTGATGTCACAAGTTTCATCCCTGAAATTAGCACACGGGTTACCTCTGCAAATATAGGTGTTTCCACTGTTGTTCTACGGTTGTTGTTAGAAGAGATATGCATCATGGGAAAGTAGTGTCAATTTGTGACTCAGATTGACATCATGACAAGTTAATGCGCTATCCTGACATCAACCAGGCCCAGTCGAAAACAAGCACCTGTGAGCCTGGTCCAAGGTTTGCCCCAAAGTCGCACCCGTTAATGAATGAATCTTGGCCAGTGGACTAGGTTTTCCCATCGGGTCTGTGCCACACTCATCCATGGTTGATGTCGACCCTTGTTGTTGTTCAATACAAGTATCATTTGAACTCCACCGATCATAAGTCAGACCAGATAAAACAACCACTGCCAATTAACGGTAAAGTTTCATGTAACGTAATCGTCCTCAAACATACCACGGATAGAATTCCTTTTGTACCCCTATCCCTAACCCTAATTTTAACCCTAACCCTAACCCTACCCTACCCTACCCCACCCCTCCAGCACTCCCCATTTAATTGTACATGTCCCTCCACAGCGTATTTCCAGTTCACACATCACAGACTAAGCCAGGGAGCGTGTTGTACTACTTGATTTGTTGTACAATGATAGACAAGTATTTATTTTTCAATTCACACAATTATATATATATATTAAAAATGCAACATGGATAAGAATATTTCTGATATTGTATGTATGTTGATGAATACAAACGATTATGATTTAGTATCCTGAATTAAACATGTTGTTATTGTAGCAACACAACCGAGCAACCGTTCGACTGCATCTTATAATGGTACGTACACTATCAACCACTGCACATGCGTAGTACTGGGTTTATTTCTCGTGGAATGAATATTCTACAGTGTGTAGTAGTAAACAGTAATTTTTTTAGTTTATGATAAATCATATTAGTTCTCAACATGATATATCAAACAACTATTAAAATAAACGTTTTCATTCATATTAAATACTTAATTAAATGGAATACAATCGTAAGTATACAAAAGTAGTATAACTAGCTGTATGTTTACTGGAAGTATCAAACTAGGCTGCAGACAAAATCCAGAATAAATATAAACAAACCTATACAATAATATGGACGTTGGTGGCGCTAGTCGACAATTTTATCTATCCCCAAGTACATTCGATACCATTTTCTTTCATCGCGTTTATATTGCGGTTGTTAACAACAGTGAACAAAACAAGCTGAAAATTGAAGATTATTTTTTATAAATATACAAACACTCACCTAACGAGCGTTTTTTTTTTAAATATACATTTCCGAATGGTCATCCAGCAAATTTTCATATACGTTCATTTACTCTTCAAAAGAATGGTCAGGGTAATCTTCATAAACATGTTAAAATGAAATGTAGCATTCTGAAAGCGTGGGTATGGAGGATATTAAGGTAGATCGATATTTTGTACATGTCACCCCACTAGCACTAGCAGTGTCCTTTTAGTTTGTGTTAAAGCCCCAAAACGTGGACAACTCTGATATATTGAAGTAAGCTATATGAAATACCAGTGACCCGCCAGCAAGACCGAAAAAACACTTTCTGGCAATACGCTCCTTACTGATAGAGGGCGCGATCTCACGTTGACTTATCTGGGATCTCTTTCGCAATCGCCATGCAGTTGCAAATTGAAATTTTCCTGAAAACTGGTAGATCAAAACTGAATTTCTTAATTAGTTGAAATTACTTTTTCTGGAAACTTACCGTTTATTTTTTATGTTTTGTTCACCAAATCAAATGGTAAATAATTAGCTTACTACTTACTAGTAATGGCAACCCGACTTGTATTTTGTCAACATTTGAATGCAGTAACTTGAGACTTTCATGTTCACAAGTAATATATTTTACAAGTGTTTCATACGTCTTCATGGAATCGAACCCAACGCGGCCAGACGACCACCGCCGTTTAAAAGAGCGGGAGGATGGGTACTTCCTAATATCGGCAACTGACAAACAATAACGCATGGATACATATATATCAGTTAAAATTCTGATCACCTATTGTGTTTACACTGGGCCAGTCATGAACGCCATGTTGATAGAGCGTTTACAGCCACACCCGTGCATGTTTACCGTGACCACAAAACTGATCGCTGTATAATCCACCGTATTGGGGATTATTTTTAACGGCGTTTGAACAGATGATACACAAAATATAAGCGAGTATCAGACACGGCGTCGCTCTGCAAAGCCTATACAAATTTATAACTACAAATGTAAACAATCGGGGCCTAATATGTACACTGGATCATTCACAGACACGCTAGGGACTCTGGTTCAATTATTATTATTTCTTTAAAGCGGGGAGTCGTCACCTGCGCATGCCTCGAGTTGGTCATAGCGTGTCATTGTTTACAACAAGCGTCTACACATGAGCCTTTGTGTTTTTTTGCGTGTGTTGTTATCATCGTTTGGGACTCAATTCTCGCGCGTGCGCAGGTGACGACCCTCCCGCTTTAAGAGGCCTGTACCAAAAGAGCGCACTTACTACA